CTTAAGACAATATTGACAAAGAAACAGAGTGGGATGATCTGTTTAGACAGAGGCTGCTGTGATGGATGAAGAGTCGCTCTCCCTCTTGGAGAATACTGATCAACGGAGACGCAACATTGAGCAACAACAAGACACGCGGCAATAAAAATAAAACTCACTTCATTACCATGAGAAAAAACCTGCAAAAGCTGGTAAAAAAAAAAGAAAACAAAGTGGCAAAATATATGTGAAGTTTCAATTGTTAGGTTTACAGTAGAGAGGAACCAGAATGTGAGGAAGTAGGTTTTAACAATAGAACTGCCCCCTGAACATGAGGGTTTGTGGGTAAATCATGGTTAAGTTTACTGGCGGATAACTTCTGTTCCCAGTATTAAGTCAAACAAACACCTGGCTACGGTTATTCCACCCCATAAAATGTTGTAAAAAGAGGCCGACGCTCACACCACCACCTCACCCTCCCTCTTTCTGTGACCGGAGCATCCACACTGCTGCATTTCAGCTGGGGGGGGGGGGGGGGACAAAAACAAAGACTTGTGGAGGGGGGCAGTTTCACCCAGGAACTTGAAGGACGGCAACTGCTTGACCATCTGGAAAAGTCATTCCTGATTGGCTGACGGCAGTGGGTGAAACTTCTAAAGGCGTGGGCAGGAACACAGATCAATCAACAGGATAAATCACTCCTGGTGGCTTTGAGCCGCAGTCTCCGTTCTCACTGTTTGGTTTTTTTAGTTCTGTACAAAACACAAAATACATTGGGTGGAAAAAAGACATCCTTAAGCTATGACTTTTCTACTGAAGAGGAAAAAAACCAGAAAGATTCTTCAAACGAAATTAAGACATTTCTTTTAGGGACGGAAAGAAATCTGACTTTGTGAAAAAGTTTTCAATCAAAGGTCTATATTTTACAATATTTGCCTCAGATTAAAGTTCTAATCTAAGGTTTTGAGATTTAGGTCCAAATTAAAGTTTCATTTTATGTGTAAAGTATTATTTATTTTGTATTTAATCAAACATGTTTTTCTGAAAACTGAAATAAAGTCAGAACTCTGACTTCTACCTCAGATGGCATCCTGAGATTCATGTCATTTTGTGACATTTTTCTATGAATTCCGACCCTATTTTATTCTGTAAAAATTGTCAGTTTTTTTTTTAATCCATGTGCTCTTTCTCCTCCTCTGTGATATCCTTTGCTGGAAGTCAGAGACAAAACAGTACTTTCTCAGAAGAGACAAAGTCCTTGAAAGTCCAGCTCAGCTGGTTAGTGAGTAGAGTCTACATGAAGACAGTCACTTCAGTCAGAACGCTCCTATCTCCATTCCCCAAGGCCTGTAGGGTTTCCCCACACTGGACACAGGGGCTGGGGGGCTGATTGTGGTGGTGGGAGAGATAATGGGGAAAGCGCTGAAGGGGAACGGGAACGCTGAGAGGGAAGAGAGGAGAGGAGGGGAGAGCTTTGACGCTGATGTATGAACCAGAGCTGGGTGGAGGACAGTGGTAGGTGTGACACTCGTGGGTGTGACCCGGATCGGGCCTTGATCCGAGTGAGGACTGGCGGTTGTGCTGCTGCTGCTACGTCTGCCTGGAAGGTGAGACTCTGCGACCGAAGAGGAGGAGGAGGAGGAGGAAGATGAGGAAGAAGATGCCGGAGAAGCGTTGGTGGATGACAGAGGAGTCTGTGGACTGCTGGTGGTGCTGCGGGGAAGAGGTGCCAAAGGTGCTGCGGCCTGCTGGTGCTGCAGGAGCAGTGGGTGGGTGAGATGGGCAGGTGGAGATCCAAATGCAGAGCCCCAGGCCAGGTGACTGAGGCCAGAGTGAGCCTCCCTCTGACTAGCGTAGTTGTTGAGGTGAGAGACCAGACGCATCCTCAGGGGGTCAGTGCTGTCCAGACCCTCGATGATACTCAGGTATCGAGCCGTTTCAGCCAGACACTCCCTGAAACCCAGACCACGGTAGTCCATGGCCAGAGCATGAGCATCAAAGTAACCTGAGGGAGGAAAAAAACAAAAACAAAAACAAGAAGGCTGTGGATTAGTTTTTTAACGAAGAAGAAGTCATCTGATGAGCAGAGTACAGAACTAGTTCAGCCAGAATGGATCTGTTTGGCATGAATCAAAGCACCTACAGCAATTGGAGCAGCACGAGAATCAACAGTCAGGTTGGATAATGATTTCTTTATACACTCTGACTCATGAACTCTGCCAAGGAGGAGACTTTTGGCTGTGTTTGTCTGCCAAACAAAGTAAAACAACTTCTTAAAGAACTCGTTCACTTCTGAAACAGTTTCATCAAACAACTCTTGGTTTTTTCAATAAAATATGTTGCTCCGGAACTTACAAAAATAATCCAGAGTTGCTGAACCACTGAGTTAACTCTGGTCAATAGGGAATTAATCTAACCCTCCTCAAATGTACAATCAGCCACCATCCAACAATGGATCAGATTAGAAAGAGAATTTACTGGATTTAACCCAGAGATTAGATCTTCAGTTTCATACCAGAAAAAAAAAATATTTCTGAAGTGTCATAATAAACCTGATGAACCACAAACAAATTATTACATTTTGTTGGATCCAGATTATTATAAAATGTTGTACAGTGTGAATTTTAATGTCATCATGCAACAAATGATTGACTTTTATTTTCTATAACCAACACCAGCCTCGTCTCACCTTTGCCTCCGGCTGCATGAAGCATCTTCAGATGGTCCACCGTCATCTGCAGAATCTCTGCTTTCTCCAGCTTGGCTGAGCCCTGTCACGTGAAGAAGATAAGAGTGGAAACTTGTCAATAAAATAATAACAAGAATGAAAAGTTTCTTTCATTGTAGGATTCTTCTTCTCTTACTGACCTGTTTCTCGAAAGCACTGGGCACGAGCCTGCGGAGCTCACTCAGGCTGTTATTGATCCTGTCACGGCGTCTTTTCTCAATAATCTGTTTTTTTTAAAGTTTAAAAAAAAATTAAATATGAAACAATATTCGTGTTTTTTTAAACTCTATATTTTAAATTAACAAGTTTAACTTACTCCTCGACGCCGTTTCCTCGCCTGCACTTGAGTTGAGGTGGTGGGAGACATGGAGCCGAGTGGAGAACTCATATTCCTTCAGGAAAATAAATAGATACAATTATTACATATCAGGTGTCAGATTTATTTTTTATTCTCACAAAACTTACTTAAGGTAAAATTCATTACAGCGGCTAAAACCTACCCATTCTCGTCCGCGCTCTCCTTTTCAACTTCAATAGTTTCATCCAGTTCACTGTCCGATGAGCTGAAGTCGTGATTTCTCTTCATTTTTATTTTTTAAATCTTCTTCTAAAGTATTCCTTCAGTTCGACTCTCCTCCTGGTTCTGTGTTCTACAGCCGTGTCTGTGTCCTCACGTTAGACTGGAGCTCCTCTGTTTGTAGCTCCCCTCTTTCCCACGGTGTCATTTCAACGCCGCTGCCAGCCAGCGGAGGCGGGGCATTAAAGGGTTGTCAGCCAATCACAGAGCGGCCACTGGGTTTGACGGACAGGCGCAGTTTGGCCTTAGCTTTTGACAGGTCTGAGAGGAGAAAGAATGAAGATGTCTCACTCTGATGGTGTTTCCGAAAACTGAGGCGGGAAGAACACTTTGGTCTGATGTCACACAGTAACTGCAGCTGAAAAAGTTCTGAATGCACTGTAATCATACTTAGATGTATTTAGACAAACCACAAAACGTCGAATTACAAAATTTACATGACAACACATGACAAGTATGTCTAAAAAGGATAATATTCTATCTGCACTAATTTAAATTACAGTAAAAAGTTCCGGTGCTGACAAGAAACATAAATACTTGTTAGCAAAAAAATAACGAAATACTTAACAAATGTGTAATTTTCCCCCCAAAGATAAATAAAGGTCAAATGAAGACGCTTTTAAATGCATCAAAATAAAAATATGGCCGTCAGTAATTATTAGAACGGTGTTTATAGCACCACCTTCAGAGGAGGGGGGTAACTGTGTCAGTGTCAACAACGTGAAAAAAAGGTTGATTCTTTCATTTAAACGTTTGGGTGACAGGTTTTCAAGGACATAGAGGATCTTTGAAGAACTTTGACAGTGGTCCAATGGTCTTTCGGTCCGCTCCTGTCTTTCTCCTCCCCCTCTGTATGTCCCGGTGGTGATGAGGAGTGGCTGGCCGGCTGTCAGCACGCGTTGGCCGTGGGAAAGTTCCCTAACCGCCGCTGATAACCAATCAGAGGCCGACGGCCGTCTCCGGCGCTGGAATGAATGGAGCAATTGGTCGGGGCGACGGGCGGTCTGCGAGCGAGCGTGTGAACCTGTAATCCAATACTGACTCAGCCCGGGAGCAGGGAGACAGGGAGACAGGGAGCACTGCCGCAACCAGAGGAAGCCAACAAGTCTAACCTTACCCCACAGAGAGACAGGGTGAGACAGAGACAGAGAGAGAGAGACATACACGCGCAAAGGGGGGTGGGGGGGAGGGAGGGAGAGAGAGAGAGTGGGACAGAGCTTTAAAGTGGGGACTAGAAGATTACAACAAAAGAGCATCAGACATGTTTCCGCAGCAGCAGCAGCAGCAGCAGCAGCAGGAGTGCGTGGTGCATGGCTCCTGTGATGGTCACACTCCTCGAATACTTTGACAGAACTGCTGGTGTGTGTTTGTATACACACAAGGCTCATGTTACTGCATGTGCAGCAGTGAGGCTCCTGCCCGGCCTGGAGAGGTCTGTGTTCAGACAAGAGACTGTCCTACAATAGAACAACAACAATGTTAACCAACCAGACAAGCTGTTACATAACTCTAACCTTAGACTTTGTCTTAAAGAGAAAAAAAAAACATCGGAAACTACTTTTTCTTTTGTCATTATTAACTGGATTAGAATCAAAACAAAAAAGGGTATAAAACGGGTCCCTGAACCCTGTACAGGTGGTAGAGATACAGTGGGAGTCATGAAAGGTTTCAATAATTAGAAAATGATATAATATTGTTTAAATATAATAATTAATACTTTTGTGCACATAATTATTGCAAATCCAAAGTACACTGTGTGATGTGCCATTGTACACTTATTCAGATTTGAAATAGAAACACTAATTTATACTTGAACAGTTTTTACTTAGTTATTATTATGATCATCTCTGTAGATATTTAATAAAATCCTGTAAAAAAAAACCCTCATTAAATTCAAAGAATCAGATTTATGCGTACAGCCTTTAGACCATTAAATGAAACAAATCAAACGACAATCATGTATTTCAATGATGAGCGTGATGTTAAAATAAATAAAAATGCATTTAAAACATTGTGGTTTCAAAGACATGGGCTTGGTGAGTGTTGTTTTATTGTTTGTAGTCCAGATTGAAAACAGTTGTCGCTGGCAGGCAGACCCACCGAACTGAGAGGAGAATTTATGTTTTAAACGTCATTGAAGCTCATTAAAAACAAATCACATGCATCGTGTACGACATCAACTCCAGCAACAAAACTGGGAGGCAATAAATAAATTAAGGAAAAGTGCAACTCTAGTCATGAAAGTAAAGAAGGATAAAAAACACAGCTCCACTGACAAGATGGACTGTCTTAGCTCAGTGTTGACTTCTTTCCAAAAATAAATGGACTGAAAACTCCCTAAAGTAATTTCAATAATGTTAAAACAGAACATTTTAAAAGATTGTGCTAAAAAAGTGGCAGAAATATTAAGTTAGAATAACGTAGACAAATACAACAGAAATATGAACCAAATCTGTTGTGTTAAAAGAGTCTGCACTAACACTGACCGGGGAATACTTCTGCAATGTCCTAAAGCACTCGTTATATTGTGTTAAATAATTTTAATCTGTCCAAGTGGCAAGAATGGCCCCCGAGCCCAACTTTGAACACGCCCGGGACCAACTTGTCATGTATTACAGTCAGTGATCTGGAACCAAACCTCTGCACTGTTCCTGGAGTTTGTTTAACTGGAGGACCTAGTTTCCATGGTGACACGTAGAAGAATAAACACTGACTGGGACGTACTGTGACACCAGGGTGATCAGCTGCCGCTCAGTGACAGGGGGAGCGGCCGAAGACGCAGCAGTGGTCACAGAGAGCAGCGCTGCCTTATTTTGGTTCCTATGAATGACAGGAAGCACTTAGGGCTTTTTTCATCTTATTGTTGTTGTACAAGGCTGTGGTGCCTATGACAGGACAGACACACAGATGCTCTCACACAGTCATCACACTGATTATATGTGTGTGTGTGTGTGTGTGTGTGAGTGTGAGTGTGGTAGGGGACAGCGGGGAACTGCGTTCACACACACACACACACTCCGTGCAATCTAAATCCCTTGTCACAATAAACACAGGTGTGTGTCCACATGAGTTTCTGCCTCTGAGTGTGTGTTTTGGTTTGTGTGTGTGTGTAAGTAGGGGGAGGAGGAGGGAGGAGGCGGGGTGAGAGCTCTCTTGTTGTATTTCAAGTTCACCCAGAGTTCCCACGCTGTTATTTTCTGCCCCGGCTGTCTTTGTTCTACTGGTCTCATCACATGTTGTGATTAGTAGGGCCTTTCAGGGGCCGCCCTTTGAAGGTGAGGGCCCGAAACAAGACATTATCAAATCCACACCCTCCTCCCCTCCTCCCCCTGCCCTCCCCTCATCATGTCCTGAAAATCAGGCCACCGAGTTAAATCACTGTGCCAACGTCAGATTTGCCCCGCCCACCTCACCTACCCTGCTCTCTCTTCTCCTTTTCCTGCGTCTCTGATTCTTCCTCTCGATCTCCCCTTCAACCAGGATTCCATCTAAATGTGGACCACATCCGGAAAAGTCTGCATGTCCTGCTTTTATCCTGTCAACACAAATGTATGAAAACTTAAAATAGCTCACAGGAAAAATGGCACATTTTGTTCAAGTTTTGTTCAATTTGTAGAAACATTTTTTTCTGACAAATACACTGAGCTCCTAAACAAATGTAATATCAATATTTTCACAAAAACTGTTTATATTTGAGTATTTCAAATATATTTCCTACAGGAGTGAACTGCCCAAGTGTCACATTTTCACACCACTTCACACCAACCAAGCCGACCTCAGTTTCGGAGGTGGTCCAGACTTTCTGTATGAAGTATAATCTTTCATTAGCTTCACTCACACATGTGTTAGTTTGTATTAATTTGTTTGGATTTGTCTTCCTGCTCAGAGCGGCTGTGGTTCTACATGACTTCAGCCAGTGTAAATGGAGTTCGGTTGTTGTGTTGACAGAGTGACGCTGATGAATGGTGTTGATATCACCTTCAGGAAACTCTTAGTTAATACTTAGCCAAACAAAGTCGTGCTGAACTGTTAACTACAACTTGATGAAAGCAGTTTCTGACTGTTGTATTTAATAATGTTTGGACTAACATTATTTTATTATTGAAATGTAGATAAAGATAAAGATGTAGATTAATGTTGAGGGTTTATGAAAACATGGCACATAAATGTTTGCGTATCATTTCCAACCAAGTGGAAAATCTTTCATTATTTCGTAGCTTTCCACCTACAGTTAAACACGACCCTGCGTTGTTGATGGTGATGATGATGATGATGATGACAGTCACCGCTGTCTTATCAAAGATCTTCCCATTGAGGTACAATATACGAGTTTGATTTTCTTTGATATTACTAATGTTTCTTCTCCTGGCAGAGGTGCCGCACACGGCCAGCTCCTCCAGGAATTCCCCACCTCTTTAATATCAGAGATAAGGATCATTTCTACTGACTTTTTAACAGCTGCGGTGCCAACAGTCATTCAGTGAGGTAACACTGGCAGGAAGTCCTGTCCACTCAGCAAATGCACAGCACTAGAGACCTACTTCCAACTAATGGAGTAGAGTAGGCATGAGAGACACAGCTCTGCTGAGTACAGGCCGTTTCACCGTTCACATTGTTCTGTTCCTGTTATTAAAGAAGAAAGAGTTCAGTAAAGTTACCTACAACTGAACCCAACTCGGTACAATGAACCATCTCTACAACTGCACGTCACCAGAGAACGGTCCTGCTGCAGCACACAGCACTCTGAGTGCACACTCAGCACCACATCACTCTGCACCAGCAACAAACACACGTCTGATTGAAGTGGATGTTTCTTCGCTGCGTGGTTTTCCCTGGTTTTGCAGAAACCAAAGCTCGTCCTTGTGAGTCACACTGATCTGCGTGGCGTCTGCAGGTTAGCCACAGACAGATGTTCGTCCGCTCCGAACAATACGTGGAGTCGCTCTCTGGTGAAACCCTGCGGAGGTCGAGCCTTGTTATTGTTTATAAATAGAGCTGTGTGAGCCCCGAGGAAGGCTGACTTTGTTTCCCCTGACAGGGAGAGGAAGTGATGGCTAAATATGCATCAGACATGTGTGACACCCGACCATTGTGTCTTAGAGAGAGACAAGGTGTTGATGGAAGCAGTGGGGGAGCAGTGGGGGAGCAGGGGAGAGGCGCTAACATTGTCCATGAATGTGTGTGTTTGTGTGTGTGAGAGGGTGAAAGGGAGTGAGTGATACCATTAATAGTGTTGTTCTTTGGTCAGGGTGGGGGGGGGTGGAGGGTGGGGGTCAGAGCCTGGTATCGTTGGTTGCCCCTGTCTGTCACCCTGTCAGTTACCCCCTGACTTGACAGGGACGTCTCCTCCACCCCTCTTGACTCTCATTATCCTCCAGAGGCGTCCCAAACTGTGCGTTTGTGAGAGTGGAGGAAGTGAAGGCCGTGTCGAAGTTGACCCGCTGACACTGATCTCTGTCCTTCTCCCCCATGGGAGGTGTTGGAGGGCCTCCTTCTGTGTCGGCATCACTGACAGACAGAGAGAGAAGGAGGTGAACGTCATCAGGAGGACACAAGAAAGTCACCAAATTAATCAGACATTAGTTCATTTAAAATGAGCTGCAGATGGTGTTGGTAGGTGGCTCTGGTGACTGGTCAGGAGGAGGGTTGTTGGTTGGATCTGGGAGAGTTAAATTAGTAGAACGTTAAGTACTACGTGGTAACTGGACAAGACTACGAACTGCCGTACTGGTCAACCGCTCAGTCATAACAACAGCCATGTCCAGGTAAGACAGGAAGGACACTTCATCAGTATCAAGACAACATGAAGGTTGGTAGGTGTGTTCACAGAGGGGCAGATGGGTAGAAAGGTAAGTTAAGATAGAAGATAAGAAAACAAAACCATGGCTCTGGGCCATCTGTACGGTCAGACAAACAGAAGACAGTGGAAAGATGTCACACAGTCTATGACTGAGATTGTTTTTGTCAACTCGGAGGACCTGAACCTCCCTCCCACTCTTCATCCATCCTTCTCCCATCCTCTAAATGCCCCTTTAAGCCTCAGTCTGGTAAATTTGATATGTGAATTAAACACGGATGGGATGAGAGACAGCCAGAACAGTGTGTCTCCCATTAGTCTCATTTAGAGATGTCCCACAGTCTGATAATACCTGCTGCTGAGTATTCACTGACTCTCCTTATTAGTTCTGTCTGACTTGAATCTCTGAGGTGCACTGGGAGCAGAACTGGCACTGGAAGGTTCTGGGTGTGACTCACGCCTGGAGTCAGTGAAACTCCTGGTGGGTGGCCACCGTGAGGAGTGTGAGAGAAAATCATCAAGAACAAAGGCGGTTATTTAACTTTGATCTAGGCTTGAGATAATTATTTGCGTTGAGTTTGACCTTGTTACTCTTGAACCGACCTCGACGGCTTTGGAAAATGGTGATTTTTTTTGACTGGATATACAGTGAAAAGGGAATTGTACCAGAGTGGCAATGAAGATCAAAGAGAAGGAAAACTTTACGGCATGTGACAGGAGTCACGAGGAGGGAAAAAAAAAGGTTCATGGTTTGAGCCCTGACTCAGACTGTGATAGGGCTGCAGCGGGAGCAGAACGTGAAGGTGTGTCCAACTGTGAAATGGAAAACAACATTGGTTTCAAGAAATGGGCAAATGTGCGCGCACACACACACACACACACATCTCCACACTTCTACTGCACACACCAACACACTCCTAATCACACATCTTTACTCACTAATTCGATAACAAGCCTGAACAGTTCAAACATGTTTTAACGTTTGACATTTGGCCTCAAAAAGAAAAAAAAAATGAAACGAGGCTCCTGTCAGTATCTGTGAAGTCTTGGGAGAACACTGCCCCCCTGTGCCCACCCCCACACCCTACTGCTGCACCGAGGGGTTGCTGCTCCTCTGACCCCAGTAATGATGCAGGGTCAGGAGTCAGGTTGTGTGAAGGAACTGTCTCCGTCTGCAGAGCGCGTGAGGAGCGCCTGGGAACCAGAGCTCGCTGTGTGATCCTGTGAAATTGATCTCCGCAGAGGGGACCAGTGGTGTGTATTTATGTGTGTGGTTGTTGTCTGTGTGTAGGAGTGGAGCGACCGCGACGGGAGACACACCAGCGGAAATGGTAGATCCCAGTGGTTGGCCTGTCACCATAGCCCCCTGTCACCCTGCCTGTCTGCAGCAGAAATGACGGCGGAGGGAAAAAGTTCAGTGCAGACGACGCTTCGCTTTTACTGTCTCCACCGAAAGAAAAATGTTAATCACATGTAACGCCCAGATTAACGTTTCTCAGACAGAAATAACTGAATTCAGCTCAAACATGTTCTTGTTATTCCAGAGAGAGACGGTCTGTCATTTGGACTTGGGGAAATGTTTGCTGTCTTGACACCATCTTATCGCGGTGTGACGCTTTAACTAGAGATGGTTCATCACTCTGGAGCAGAGACATTTTTATCCTAATATCATGTACTGGATTGGGGTCAATTTGGTGGCTGTGAGGATGAACCAGGTTTTCTATCAAGATTAGTTCAAAACTTGATGTTAAACTATGAACAGCCGATTTCAAAACCAAATCTACTAGCTCCTGTCCTACCCACCAACCTGCCTCCTTCTACATCAACAATCAACCCCGTCTACTTCTAAGTGATCAACATTTAGAGCCACACAAAAAATGGACCCTGAACCTGCCGCAGAAACAACAGCTAACATAAATAACTGACTGTGCAGCGTCAGCAGTGAAAGAAACTCCTACGATTGGACCAAATACTGTGAACCAGCGTGTACTACTGAGGTCACTTCAAGGCTAAAACATGTTTCTACTTCAACTCTCTTCTACACACAGTGATGCAGTGATGCAGATGGTTTCCTGCATGTTCTAAAAATGTCAATGTTGTCTAAATAAACCCTAAAAGCATCGTATTGATGCTAAAAACAACAGAGTGTTTGTTAAGTAGAAGAAATCCAAAGAGTAGATGTTATTTCTGCATCTGTGTGTGTGTGTGTGTGTGTCTGTGTGAGACGGAGCCCTACAGTGAAGGCCTGGCTGCTCTTTCATCTCCAGCATCTGCTATTCTTCTTACATCCCTCTCTCCCCGTCCCTCTGTGTCTCTCTCCCTCTCTGGCCGAGCCTCCTCCGTCTGTCTGCTGTGCGACCACTTCAGTCATATCTGCAGCCTCGTTATGGCAGCTACAAAACCAATCCCTCCTTGTGCATATTCAATCACCCCAGGATCTCGGCGGCTTTTTTCTCCGTCTGTCGGTTTCCTCCCAGAGGCTTTGTGTAGACATTTCGAAACAATCAGATGAATTACGGTAGTTGGGAACTTGTGATGTCTGATCCCTCTTCACCGTGCTGTGCATGGGGTCTGGGTGGAAATGTGGCACACCCCGTCTAGAAATTCTTTGAGGTCTGCGCCGAAAGAGAGAGAGAAAAGGTTTTATTATATCACTTTTCCTAAAAAAACATGTTTAAATAGTCCACATGTTTCACTGATGATACACAGTTTAAACAAAGCAAAACAGCAACAGACTATCATCATCATCATTGTTATTATTAATATATATCCAAATCATTAGAGATTCACATAAGAAACAATAACTGAGAAAACATTAACATTAATTTTCTATTTTTTAAGCTGAATTTTACGCATAAAAAACAACAAATCTAACAACTAGCCAAAAAACCCCCAAAACAACTCAAACAATTTTTCAGATTTAACTTTAATACTTTTATAAGAATATGAACCTTATCACTAAAGAAATGTTAGCCTGGAAATAGCTTAACTTAAATAAAGTTGAAAAACTCACACAAACGTGAGCTAACGCTTTAGTTCTCATGGTCAAACTAAATTTAAGGTTACATTTATTTTACTTAGTTTTAACTCAGAAATCAAAGGCATTTAAAATAGCAGACACCCTGACCTGACTGACCTGAGGTCAGGTTTGATGTTTACAACTCAACATCTGTGACAATGAATTTCATTAATACACAAGCCCACACGTCAATATGGTCTGGTTTTTACTGGGTCAATAACCGCATACAGCAGGAAACACACACACACGCACACACACACACGTTGGCATCTGACAGAAAAGGAGAGAAAATGTGTTCAGTACGTTGTCCTCATTGGTCAAATTCAGGTTTGTGTGAACTGAGACACTGACCAGACTGAGAGGGAGAGTTTGTGTGTTTGTATTTGTGTGTGCGTGACTTACATGTTGTCATTACATCACTGTGTGTCCAGATCCTAAACATTAATTACACAGACTTCCCCACTGTGTTTGCCTTTGGCCTTGTGAGTGACGTGTGTGTGTATTTGTGTATTTGTGTGTGTGTTGGTGCATGCAGCAGCACTGTGCTTGGTGTGTGGCTTCAACGATGAGTGTGTGTGTGTGTGCAGCACTGATTGCTGTTTATTTGCTCTGTGGGTTGACATGGAGCCTAACAGTCAGAAATAGTCCTGACAGGTCTGTTTTTATTGGGTCCCCGGGGCCCGACCAATACTAACACTGGGGTCGCACTCTTCCCTCTGTCCCGTGCACCTCCAGACTCCCACACCAAGGTTCCCATCTGTACTGTGGTATGACTGTATCAGAGTAACAGTGCTGGGAATTTCAAAATTAAAGAAACGTCCAATCAGCTCACGGTGAGACCTAATGTCCGTGAAGTTAAATTTTAAAGGAAATCATTCATAAATTCCTAGAGAAAAAAGGTAAAATTGCTAATATAAATTATAAAATGAACTTTCTTTGTAAATTAGACCAAACGTTAATGTTAAAAATCAATGATAAGTGAGTCATCAAGGTCCAAACTGTTTCACTTTAAATCAGAAATGTCTGAACTTTAAAGAGTGACATTTTAGGTTCTTATCATTTTTTTACTAAGTGATCGCAGAAATAAACATAAAAGCTAAAAATAAATATATATAAATATAGAGTAGAATAATTGATTAACTAAAGGCACAAAAACAGATTTTAATAGGGCAGTATTAAATAGTGTTAAGAAAATATTTCTCAACAGGCCAAAAATGTAAACGCAAAAATGACGCCCCTGAATACAGAGCCTGGACCTCGGTCTCTACATCACTACTGACTCAGCAACTACACACACACACACACACACACAGACGTAGGGTCAACACACACATATGTAGGTGACATGCACAAGATGGTTTAATGGTACATGGACAATTAGTCAACCATGTAATGTGAGCCTCTGTCAGCCAACACACACACACACACACACACACACACACGGGTAAGGAGGTCACGGCTGTCGCTTTACCGTCTGTTAATGGTCTGAACCCCTCCACCCCCCCATCCACCCCCCTCCCCTTCACTGACAGAGGACAGGAGTGTATCGTACATCATAACAGTGATATGACACACACACACGCTCACACACACCCACGCAAACACACAGCTGAGAAAGAAATGAGAGCATGGGGAAATAGGAGAGGGTGGGGTGGGTAACTGACTCTATGTGAGTGTGTGAGTGTGTGAGTGTGTGTGTGTGTGTGTGTGTGTGTGTGTTCCCAGTGAAACGTCTGCTCTCGGACCTCCACACAGCTGTTTGCTAGACAAAGTCACACAGACACAGACTGATCTCTCCATTAAAGGGAGGAAGAGGTGGAATAAAATGGATTTAACACACACACACACACACACACACACACACACACACACCTGCATATGTAAGTGAGTGTGTGAAGTGGAACTGCAGATGTTCGTATCATCTGTAATAAACTTCTTCAGCTGTTCACACCACTTGAATGTTTTCTTCACATTTCCTACTTCATCCTTCCTGACTTCCTGCCTCAGTTTTTTTAATGTTGAAAACTTTAAGAAATGTGGTGACAACAAGTAAACAAATTATGAGCAAGAAAAGCAAAAAAAAAAAACAAACATAAAAAAAACGTTGGTTCCACTTTATTATGTTAACCACACAAAGTAAGAGTGAGCCACCTCCAGTGAGCAGGAAAACCACCATGTACACAAACGACGCTGATGAAAGAACCTGAACATGAACCTGGAAGTGAGTCTGTAAACTGTGCTCCGTGACGGATTCTAAAGTTTGTTTGATCATTAAACTGTTTGACTTGTTTTTCTTTAACCTCACTGCACGGCTGCTGGTGACCTAACCTCAGGGGCTTTTCCCTTAGATGTCAACCAATCACTGTGTCTGTAGATTTACCTCATCTACAGTAACTAATTAACCACTAAGGAAAGTGAGTACAATTGAGAAGTAAATGTAAGGATTTGATTAAGTATAATAAAAACACAGAAATAAACAAATTGTACCCTTTGGTATCGACTGTAACGTCTCTGAAGTTCATTTCTCAATTACTGGATGAACATAAAACTCAAACCTTAATCAAATGTTTACTCTGTCACAAAGGCATGGATGGGACTTGAACCCATGATCTTTGGTTTACAAGACCAACGCCTTACCACTTGGCCACCACACCCACATGGGTGTAAATAATATCCTACAATTAAAAAAGCTGAATGTTAGATTAGGAGTCAGAAACCGTCACAGGCACAGCGATCTTTTTTGATTACATATCACCGTTCTGTTTCAGTGTTTTCAATATCAACCCACATGGAGCCAATGTACAGGCGTGGATGGGCCACATGTGGCTACGGAGCTGTGCAGACCTCTGGGTTAAAGATACAGACCGTGAAATGTTAGCTTTTGTTGCCTGACATAATACAGACCCTCTTCAGGAAGAAACACACACCACCACAACTCCAGTAACACCGGTGTCATCGGGATCACTGCCCCTCTGTCACCAGGAAGTTGTTCATAGTGAACAGGAAACTGGACTGCAGTCTGGACAGGAAGCAATGAGCAGCTACTGGAGGGAGACCAAACCCTACGACCGGCAGGTAAAAAAGCCCAACGAACAACACATTCACTGCAGCCATCCCACAGTGGTTTAAATATTGGTTAGAGTTATCACTCAGTTGTCATTTACTAGTGTGCGTGTGTGTGTGTGTGTGTGTGTGGGTGTGTTGTCGCTGTGAACACAAACAGAGC